ACCTCTGAATCGACTATTGATGTTCTGGGTCCCCTAGGGCCTTGAAACTTCTTGTGTGCACTTCAATAAGTCATACAAGCTTCATGGACCATGATTCTATTATTGTAGTACCATTTAAATTAAAAGTCAAACCACAATTTACTTTTCCTAATCAAAAACCCTAATCGGGGGTCCTGGACTGCACTATTCTTCTTCTTTGGGTGACAACCTCAAATTGGATTCATACTTGATCCAATATAGTATTATTGATGATATGGGGAGTTTCTTCATGGAGAATCAATCCAAGACATTGATTGACCAAGCCATAGAAACCCTGATTCCCGACTGTATGGAACCCTAATTCACCTGCATCTTGATAAAGATCAAACTTGAAATAGGTTAAGGTTAGATAAGCAATGTTGATGCTCTTAGAATGGTGATGGAATCTAGGGGTCAAAATTTGGGGTACAACAGTAATTACCTCCCTGCCCGTAGCAACGACTAGTTATGAGCACTTTTGCCCATTTCAACGGCTAGTTCTGGCAGTTACCTATTCTTCGGGAAATGGTTATCTCGTCCCAAAAATAGGGACCAATGGTCAAGCGCTAGGGGCACTATAAAAAACCTCTTACTTAAGAGGGCCAGTTATCCAATGTTCACCCTGATATACTCATATTTTATACTTGCTTTCTCTCTTGCTCGTTTTCTTACTTTAACATCAGAGTGCCTTGCAGGTACACCTCCTCCTCTTCTTTCGCACCTAGCATCACAAATGATTGTCTTTGTTCTACCTCAGGTTCTGATCAACCAGTAAGATCAGTGGTGTCATTTGCGGGAAACTTGTTATCCTCGTCTTTCCTCTTTTCATAGACATGAGACCAAAGTAATTCTTCAAAATCCCGATCATGGCCAGCCGTGACAACACTCCTGATGCTCGCAACTCTGCTTTCCTCCCTGTTAGCAAGACTGATGCTGACGGAGCTACCACCTCTCGTGGCGGCGACGTCCTCCGACAAAGGGACGGAGCCACAACTTCTTTATCCCATGTTCGCATATATCACATCGAAGTTCTGCTCATCCCGCATCACCTATCAATCCCATTTCAGCCCAGCATCGACCCGACCATGGCGGCCTTGCTCGAGGTTATCAACAAGACCAACCTCCTAATCCTCAACCAGAATGCGAGGATTGGAACATTAGAAGAGTCCAGTCGTCCAAGATCCCCTCTGTCGGGGAAAGAGCGTCAGCTACCACGGAGTCCCCCTCCCTGGCGCGAGAGGAACCGTCAGACACCTCTGAAGCCAGAGACCTTGACCATCTGCAAGCGAGACCGCATCTCTCCTTGGAACCAAAATTCCTCACAACCCAAGAGGACCATAATAGGCCACCAGGAAGAATCCCAACGTTCGCCTCCGCCTAGATCCAAGGGCCAAGCACGAACCCCGTCTCCCCGACGAGACTGCCATCCTACATACAGGTGGGACGCCCGGTCCCCATCCTGGACCAGCAGCAGCAGTGACGACGAGCCTTGCGGCCTGTTGTCTCAAGAGATTATGGCCATGCGCTGCCAAAGGGACTAGAGAAACCCCCTCTATGGGCACATACGACAGAACAACAGACTCCGACGAGCACATCGAAAATATCGATGCGCTGCTCAATTACCGCGGTGTCCGGGGCACTATCAAATGCAGGTTATTCCCGACCACACTTAGGAAAAGGGCGATGACCTGGTACAAAGGACTTCCTGATGATTCCATCACCTAATGGAGACAACTGGGGAAACTGTTCTCCAGATACTTCACAGTCTCTCGCCACCATCCAAAGACCGAAGCCTCCCTTGAGGCCATCATTCAAGGGAGAGATGAACCCCTGCGAGCCTACATCAAAAGGTTTAATAAGGAGGCCGCCCAGGTTTCTATAACCGATGACACGAAAAAGTTTTTTCTTAAATGCAGGCTCTGTCCCATCATCAAATTTGCTAATGTTGTGGGCATCCGGCCCCCAACAACGCTGGACGCCTTCCTTGTAACACCCTTTTCTACCCCACAATTAAAAGGCACATTTATTCACATATTATTAGAGTAAATTATTAGATTCAATAAAATCCACCAAAAAGGGCGTACATTTCTCAAATAATCAAAATAGGTTAAGGCTCCGTAAACAACGGGTTTTTCAAAAATACATCAAATTGCACAAACCAGCGGAACTCAAAAGGCATAAATCAAGGTTTTTCCTCATACTGGAAGATAATCAAAATAAACTCAAATAAAACATAGTTTAACTCAAAAGACCCCAACCCGATGTTACATATCAGAGTAAGACCCTCTAAGTTAACCAAAAGGCTAACAACTCAAAACTTCAAAAATATCCTCGACATCGTCCACAGCTAAACCTGGTCATCTGCACGTTACCCACGAGGAGGTAACATTAAAACAGGCAGGGTGAGTAAAACGATTCATAATAATCGATGTATGAAAATCAACATATAAATAGCGTCATAGTCATATTCAACATCATCATATTCATCAATAGGCCTCAAAGGCCACAACATCATAAATTATTCCAAATGAATCATAAATGCAAATGCAACAAGACTCAATGCATGTGGTACCAATCATCACAGCTCGATGGACACTGGGCCATCAACCCTCCATAGATCCCCATCAATAGGATCGATTCTACTAGAGAATCGGAGCACATCAAAACACTTCACATCCACACAATGGGATTGAAGCCAAGTAATCGAGGTCCTGAACCGAAGTCCAGGTGCACATGAATGCATGATGCACACGTCAATAATCATCCTCATAGTAACATCATATGTGCATCATCATTCATCATATTCATCATCATCACAATCATCATCATATCTCATGTCGTCATAGAAGTCATCAAAATCATGGTAATATCATCATAATACATCATAGAAACCATCATGTAATCATGTACACATCACATAAAACTCACAGTCATACTCATGTTAATTCGTCAAAGAAATCACAGAATCAAACATCAAGACATTGCTGCACACAATCAACATTCGCGAAACTCTGCTACGTTCGCTGGCATGTTCGCTAGGTGAGTCTGGGGCGAGTTTCTTCGCTGTGCGAAGGATTCTTCGCTAGGCGAGTCTGGGAATGAAATTGTTTGTTGTGCAAAGCATTATTCGCTAGGCAAACAACGCAATGACAGTAATACTCAACTACGCACCAGAACCTAAAATCAATCAAAAAGCCTTACGATTCACTTCCCCAATGTCCCTAAAACATCCCTAAATCATTCCTAAGGTCTTACGGCGATAAAGGCACAAAACCTACAGTTTATTAGGCCTATCCCGTATCATATTCACGCCCTAAATCACAAATTTCCCTACCATTTCCCCACAGGCATCAGAGTTATTCACTATCTAATATTCCTATCCCTTCAGGGTTAGACAAATAACAAATCATGGTTTTGGCTACGAAGGCCTAACTTTCCTTTTTCCCAATGAATTCCACGGTTGGATTCCCAATAATAGATTTAGGCCACGAAGGGAAAAGATCACTAATTCTCATATCCACCCTCAAAACCCTTAAACCTTAAATCGACCTTAAATACATTGAAAGTTACACATGGAAAATCATGAAGGCAATACTCCCCATGCCTTAATCGTCGATTTAAAGCCTTCACAAATCTTTCAGGAAACCTTTCGAAGCTTTTGCCTCCAATCTTTCTCTTCAGAGCTCTGACCTCAATTCTTTTCACGGTCTAACAAAATGAATCATAATCCCTTCACAATTTCCTTTTTGTTAAACCTAGCCTTGAGCCTCATAATTGGGCTTTTCCCATAATACCCTCACTAACTCCGCTTAATTGTCCAATTTGCCCTTATTTCACTTATATTTATTTTAATTAATATAATACTAATATATTCATATTATATACTATTAATTAAATAAATAACCCAAAAATGCATAATTCTCAAAATACCACAACAATCACCGAATTACGAATATTCTTATTTAAATAAATTAAATTAAATATTCCAATAAAATTTGGGGTGTTACAACTCTCCCCCACTTAAAAGAATTTTCGTCCTCGAAAATCACCTCAAGGAAACAGAGTCGGATACGACTCCCTCATCTGATCTTCACGTTTCCAAGTCCAACTTTCTCCAGCTGGTCCTCCCCAAACTACCTTCACTAAGGTAATCTCTTCACCTCGCAGCTGCTTCACTTCTCGTTCATCAATCCGAACAGACAACATCTCAACAGTCAAATCATCTCTCACCTGTACATCATACATCTGAATCACATGCGACAGATCTGAAATGTACTTTCTCAACTGAGACACATGAAACACATCATGCAAATTCGAGATCACTAAATCATATGTTATTTATAAATAAATATATCACTAAATTTTAAAGCTAAAAATTTGAAAGAATAAGCAAATTTAAGTTTAAATTTAAATTTTTTATAAATTAGATAAAAAAAAATAGATACACATTGTTAATATAAATTAATTTTAAACTGACAATTATATATCTCGTCAAATTAAATTAAAAATTTTAAATTATTTATATAATACGATAGAAAATATATTCATTCTATATCATAATGTATCTCTATTAATAAAAAAAATTAAAACTCTACTTAAACATTGATTAATTACTATAAAGAAAATGCTACTAAGTTAAGCTTTTTCTCAACCTCCTCAACATCTATAATTAATGGAGTTAAGTCTTTTTAAATTGCCAATACCAATATACTTTTTCAATTAAATTCAACCTATATTATACTTTTGTTAATGATTTAGTGGTTTCAAATTCTTTTTTAACCACGTGGTTTCAAAATAAATGAGTAGATATAACAATTCTAATTAAATTAATTAAATTAAAAATAAAATCCACCTACACCGAAGAAAGAAGAGAAAAGAGATCGCTGATATTGAAGTTTGTTTTCGATCATCGTCGTCACCATCACACCTGTTTCTGAAATCACTAAACTGTGTTTGATTTTACGAAACCCTAAAAAGTAGAAATGGAAGAAGACGGTTCCAACTCAAACCGCCGCACGTCAGGCCGAACACGAAAAGTCGCCTCCAAAATGGTCGCCGCACTTGCTAGCTCCGACAACCGCACCCAAGCGGCTCTCGCACGATTGGATGCTTTGGAGAATGATAATGCCGGATTTGAAGTTACAGATCCCAATATTGACGATGACGAAGCTTCTCTAGATGACGATGATCAAGGTTAGGGTTTACAATTACAACCTCTATTTAGAAATTTTTGAGTTTAATTCTGTTGTTACATTGAGTTTATTTGTTTACTTTTGAAGGATTTATGCAGAGAAAACAATCTAAAGGTACCAAGAGAAAAACAAGACAAGCAAAAGCACTTGAAGCTAGGAAGGCTCCCAGAACGTTTCTTGAGCTCTTACATGATGTGAGTACATTCATGGTGTTTTACTCTTTTTTGGTTTGGTTTGGTTTTTTGAATGGACAGTTTTTCTACAATTGCAGGCGAATTTAGAATCATTGCCTCCACATGTTCCATCTTATTGGAAAGCAGCAGTTGGACCTCCAAGCTCAACCGCCCGGCGTCATTTTTGTACTGTATGTGGTTTCTCCGCCAATTACACTTGTGTTAGATGTGGTATGCGCTTTTGTTCAAATCGGTGTCAGAATGTGCATAATGATACTAGATGCTTGAAATTTGTTGCCTAATACATTTTGGCTGATGATCGGTATTCGATAGGTGCTTCCTGTATTAAGTTGTCATATGTCATTTTTTACCAACAATGTGTACAGAGAAGGTTGTTTAGTGAATCAACTTCACTTTTTTTTTTCTTTTGAGATTAGTGATTTAGTTGCCGACCTGGTTCAAGCAGAAAACTGTATATTGTACTAAACCCTATTGGATCTTGATATTCTAGGTAACCTTATTAAATATGTTCTAAGTTGCAATATGACTTGTTCTGTTTTTAGTTTGCTTATAGAGCCTTCTTTGTTTATGTGCTTATATGATTAGACTAGCTTCAAGTATGCTTCTTAAAACCAGTGGGATAAGCGATTCAGTCATCTAATTTTACATACATATAGCACATGACACGACAGTTCGTGCATACTGCTGATTTAGATTTATGGTGTGTTTGTTTATGCGGCTGAAAGGCTTTCATCACGTGTCGGCTGAAAAGCTACAGTGTGTAGATGTAATTTCACGCGTGTCTCCTGCAGTATTGCTACTGGGATACCGAATGCATGCTTAGACAACCCATTTAAGAGATGTGTGAATCGTATGTTGTCATTTCTTGTAATACCTGAATAATCAGGATAAACTTTATGTGCCTTCTAAGGACTAAAAACATATTTAACCTTTTAGTGTAAGGTGCTTAGGTATTTTCTTAAGTGGAAAATATATTGTTAAACACCAACACATAGGTAGAAGAGTTAAGAAGTACCAATTCTTATAATTGTTTACAAGAATGAAAACCAGGTGGCAATTTCTACTGAAGGACCAAGTGAAAAAAAGTGTTTGGTCTTTAAATATTTTTCTACCAACTTGAAATTTAATAGCAATTAGAAAATATCATTTATCTTTCGTTTCTTCAAGAAGGGTTGCAACTATGCGCAACGACATACCCGTAACATGCCGCTCAATAAAGCATAGCTAATTCTCCTGCCTGTTTTGCAATTCCTTGAAGAACTTCAAATCAGAACATAAATTTTATCAACTAACGATATTATAATCATACATTAGGGTAGATCTGCATATGGATGATGATGGCATTACCAATTGTGATGCATTTGAAAGCTCAAATTGATTATTTTAAGCACTAAATGTTCAAAAAGAATGCATTTGTTATTAATGTCACCATGGTTACATGCTGCATGTTAAAAGTTCTATATTCTATGTTACATTTGTTCGAAGTGAATTTCTGCATTGTTGCATGGTAATATTTTATACAATATTGTTGCCGAAGTAAACCAATGCTCAAGCATATTTTGGATTGAGTGAATGGCTTGAGTTGAGGCCCTTTTGAGGCATGATGGGAAGGGTGTTATGCTTGACTCTTGTGATTTGGGAAAGTTCAAGTCAAATTGGACATTTGTTGAGATTAGTTTTGAATGTTGAGTTGCATGCGCTAGTCCAAAAGAGGTTGAAATCAGAAAAGATGTGATGCAAGCAAGATTTTGGTCAAGGTCTGTTTTGATATTCTTGAATCCTGCTATTTAAACACAAAGCAGGAAATAATGCCATGACTTTGACAGAAGCTTCTCATATGAAATCCGTAGATGAAAATAACGGCAGAGCTGAAGCACATTTTCTTAATACCTGACATTGAAGTTTCCTGTTGCCGTTACGGAAGAATTGTCATCCTCATTGGGAGAACCTAAATTTCAATTCTTGATGAAACCATTCTTGGTCAGGACTTTCTAATTTCCTAACCAAATTTTGAATTACCTAGACCCGTTTTGCTGTTAATACCAAAAATTGTAAGTTCTTCATTAGAAAAATAATCATGTTAATTTGCATTTATACGAGCATAACATGCTAAAACATTAAAGGAGCCTTGCAAAGTCTCAGTCTCATGGATCTCCTATATGTATATTTTTATGGAGGATATTTTTTTAATGCACCCTATATATTTATTATTAGGCATCAAGCGAAAATTTTAAAATGCCTAATATTTTCAGAGATGTATTTTCGAACACATTTCAATACACACAGATAATTTGTTTTTAAGTCATATCTTAATTGTGTGAATAAATTTATTTCAGAAATGCATTTTTAGAAAATTTTCAAAAATACATTTAAAAAAAATGTATTCATACAATTGTAGTGTGAGTCACTATCATATTTGATAGTTCTTCAACCGACACTTTCATGAAACCTCTTTGTATAATTCTTTCAAAGGTTAAAAGTCCAAACAAAATTCACTTTTTGACAGTTAGGAATGTACATATTTGGTGTTTGAAGAGTGCTAATATAAACTCATTGAAGATTTTTTATGTTGACAGTACAGAACATAAAAATAAATTTGTTTGTGCTTTGCTTAACATATGCTTATGCATTATTCAAATCACAAAATGTGACCAATATACCGAACTTACTCTAGAAAATAAGAAGTTATAGTTAGTGGATAGTTATTTGAAAATTTAAAACTCCTCTACTTTCTTGATTCTCTAAATACAAAAACAGTCAGCATTCACTCCTTATTTGTGTAAATATGATATTATTCTACTTTATGTTTGCTGACTCTGCTATAAAACTCAATTTGAGAACTCCATTCCCTGTATCACTCTTCAGTGGATCTTGCTTTCCACTCGTGTTTTGATACATTTTGTTTCTCTTTTCGTAATTTTTATCTCCGGAAAATATGGTAGTGACTGGCACTACAATTGTATGAATATATATCTTATGGAATTATATTTCTAGAATAAATTTATTTGACTAAAAAACAAATGAAAGGTCTATATTAAAATATATCTAGAGATGCGTCTTTAGAATTGAGGACATTTTTAAATTTTTGTGTGATACTTAAAAAAACATATTAGATGCATTTCTTAGTATTACTTTGATTGTCTGTGACGCTGATGACCGCATAGGATGCCGAACTTGTGTCAGTTTAGGTCCATACCTGTGAGCAGGGTCGGGTTTGTTGCAGGAAACCTTAACCTTCAGACTACCTGGTTTTCTTGATAGTGAATTAGTTTTGTTGGTATCAGAGGTTCTCCTCACCAGATGGATGATTGTTCTTGACAGAGCAAAGTTATGGTCCTGCATCAGAGGTCCTTATTATCAGATGTTTGTTCTTGACAGAGCAGAGTTATGGTCCTGCATCAGAGGTCCTTATTATCAGATGTTTGTTCTTGACAGAGCAGAGTTATGGTCCTGCATCAGAGGTCCTTATTATCAGATGTTTGTTCTTGACAGAGCAGAGTTATGGTCCTGTATCAGAGGTCCTTATTATCAGATGTTTGTTCTTGACAGAGCAGAGTTATGGTCCTGTATCAGAGGTCCTTATTATCAGATGTTTGTTCTTGACAGAGCAGAGTTATGGTCCTGCATCAGAGGTCCTTATTATCAGATGTGTGTTTGTTCTTGACAGAGCAGATTTATGGTTCGATATCAGGGTTTTCTTCTTATCAGAGATATGATTGTTCTTGACAGAGCAGTATTGTGGTTTTGTTGATACAGAACCTTCATCTCCTCAACAACACAGTTGTCTTGATCTCCTGCTGCATGATTGCATTTTACATTGCTTTGCATACCCATTTGCATTTCATTAACGTGTGTCTGTGTTGCAGGTACTGTTTCCCCCGGTTCAGGTTTCTTGCCTTCTATTGTGCTACTATGGATTCTCTGAGGAAGACTGTGGCTTACAAGCTCCCCACTCCTGATGTTGTTCAGCTGACTGGTTTGGTTGCTTTGGCAGATGATTCTGTGAGAGATGAATTCAGAAAGTCTACGGTAAACTGCTCAGTTTGGTTCGTAAACCCTCTGTGTTTGAGTTGAATGGGTTGCACGCCCTGCTGCAGTTCTACGATCCTCCTTTGAGATGCTTTACTTTCCAGGACTTTATTCTCGCGCCCACACTAGAGGAGTATGTTGATTTGTTAGGTGTGTCTATCAAGAGTCACATGCCCTTTGTTCATATGGATGTTGAGCCTAATCTGGCTAGTCTAGCTCCTGCACTTCACCTAGATGCCTCCGAGTTGATCTTGTCTAGTTGGAACAGGGTTCCTGGTTTCTCCCTGCAGTTCTTAGTGGGAAAGGCTCAGCAGTGCGCCAAAGACGGATGTTGGATCGTGTTCAACGCCATTCTTGCTCTGTGCATATATGACATTATTCTGTTCCCCAATATGCCTGACTTTGTGGACTTCGACGCTTTTCACATCTTTGCATCAGGGAATCCAGTCCCTACCTTGATAGGAGATGTCTATCATTCCATCCACTACAAAAACGAGAATAGAAGAGGCAAGAATGTCTCGTGCTGTGCGCCCCTGCTCTATAGATGGCTTGATAGTCATCTACCCAAGAGGGGCCCCTTTGCTTCGTCTGCAGCCACAACTGAGTGGTCCGAGCGTTTGATGAGTTTGTCAGTGGAGGATATTACCTGGTTTGACAGGGATAGATTGGGTACTGAGATTATCTTCAGCTGCAGTGGGTTTCCGAATGTGCCTTTGATAGGCAGGAAGGGTTGTATAAACTATAATCCATCCCTGTTGGTCCGACAATTTGCTTATGCTTTGAGAGCTCCGCCGAAGGATGAAGAGGTGCAGGAATCTCTGTACCTCACTGGTCTTCTAGAGGGGGATATGTTATCTAAGCTTCAGCACGCTTGGAATGGTATCTGTAAGTGGGGAAAACCATTGCTGGGGAAGAGTAACAGCCAAGCCTACGCTCCATATGTGACTTGTGTCGCTTCCGCGAAAATAAGGTGCCGGCACAACAGAAGAGTCACCACCTTTCGTTATTTATCCCTCAGAGCGGGAAAGGAAACGTTCGGAAAAACCTGACGAATAGGTATAAGACAAGGTCATCGCAACCGTTGTCTGGGTTCGGGAGTCGGTTACGCAAGGGGAAGGTATTAGCACCCCTCACGTCCGTCGTACTCGACGGGATCCACGCTTGTTGTGTTTACTAGACGATTTGGTTTATCTATCTACCTATCAAGGCTGGTCTGAAAAGGAAAAGAAAATGACTCGGCAAAGCATCGCGC